TAGACTTAGTTGTTAGGTAGTTCTATGTAATTGTAGCAATTGCAAGAATCTTAATAAAGTACTAGCGTGACTGTCTAAAAAAAAAAAAAAAGATTCTAGTAAGATTTTGTTAAGAATAAAAGTAACAATATATATCAAGTATTTTGAGTAAATATAGTTTTAAAAATGTTTTTATAAAACAAAATAAATTGTATATATAAAAAATTTAAATAAATAAAACCTGTAATTAATTTAAAATATAATATTTAGTATAAAATTTGTATAATAATATATAGATAAACTGTCTAAAATAGATATTAAAAATTTGAAAGTACTGATAAATATTAGAACTTCAAATAAGTTTAGTTTAGAAAATTTCTGTAATACAAGATAAATTATATATATATAATATTTAAATAAACAAGACTTATAGTTAACTTGCAGATATAAATCTAGTATAGAATCTGTATAATAATTTATAGATAAACTACTTAAATTAGATATTAAAAATATATATATAATTAGTTGTAATCTTCTATATAAAAGAACTCTTGAAGGTTTCTGTATTTATATAATTTGAATAAAAATTGTTTTCCAAAGATTAAAACTTTAACACAAAAAATAAAAAATAAAATAGTTATCAAAACATATATGTAACTAGTTGTAACCTTTTATATAAGAAAGGTTTTGAATCTTATAAACTTAAATAAAAACATCACTTCTCAAAGACAGAAACTTTAACTTAAAATTTTTATAAGCAAAATATATCTTATATTATTAATAAATTATTATTTTATTTAAAAAATATTAAATATAATTTAATTTTTTAACCAAATTTGCTTAAAATATAATTTAAGAGATAATATTTATATATTTTCTGTTTCTTTTATTTTTTTTTAAAAAAGAATATTATTAGTTTAATAGTATCTAATTATAAAGCAATAATCTGGTATCATTTTTTAAATAATTGTAAAAACTTCTTGATATTATAATTATATATAAATATTTATATAAGCAACTATAATGTCAGACCTAATCCAAATTTACTTATTGTAAGATTTTAATATTAAATATATATATATATATATTGATAGTTAAATGTATTACTTCCCTTAATGTCTTGCATGCAAAATTATACTTATTTTGCCAATTTCTAGAAATGATTTAACTTTTTTTATAAATAAAATGAATTTTTGCAGTTTAAAATAAGCTTTGATTAACGCGTAGCAATCTTCACAAATGTCACAAATGTGATCATGTTTCATAACTAGTCTTGGTATAAGGTAGAATTATTAGTTTAAACCGAATAAGCATTACAATATTGATATATATCGTGCTTAACCTAGTCGAACTGCATTTTGGTTAAAAGAAAGTTTTATTAAGCGAAAGAGAAGATATTATAAAATGCATAAAGTAGTACATATATACAATTATTACATTCAAGGAACCACTTTCATCATAACGCAAAGCTATTTTGTCCCTTAACTGCAACCCTTTCAAAATTTGGGCCCTTGTTTGTAGTTCTTTCATTTTTCGGACCCTTATATATAATAAAAAAGAAAATTTATATTAAAAATCCAATTTATTAAAGTTAGTATAGAAAAAGTCAATCATTAAATCCGATTATATGATATAATTCGATTATGACGTTACTGAGAAAATCAATAATGATTCTTTTTAAATAAAAGCTAAAGAGAATAATAAAGACACAAATAAAGTGAACATTTATCAATCATGCTTGCTAATGACAGGAATTATATTATTCTGTATGACAACAATGAATGTTGGGCTGGACAGTCATTTTACCTTCATCCATCAAGTAATGGTTTGATTTCTGACACATTATTATCTTTAACACCCTATACCGATATAGAAATTCTTGCCAAAACAGTCGGTAATTTGCAGTCTTCCTCATCTGGTAGATATGAAATGAATTGCACACCAGGAGTGAATTCTCATTCTATCAATTCAACCGCGAATAAGTCAAATACGAATAACGGTGAATATTTCAAACAAAAGTTAACCTACTTTTTTTATATCTCTTCTATAATGCACTAAATTACTAATTATAATTTAGCCTCACGTGAAGATTTTTCTCAACAAAATCGATTACTTACGGATAAACCGACGGATTTTACGTTTTCTGGGCCGATCCGATCTTTAGCATTGTTTATCTCTTTCGGCAAAAATGTGACAGATAAATGGACTGCTGGGGAATTCCACAAGATTGGTTTTCATTCAGTATTCAAA